CCTCTGGAGGGCACCTGGCCAGCAGCTCGCTCACCTGGCTCTGCAAGCCTCTGCCAACCAGCACACCTGGCCTGGCCGGCACACTGGGAGAGGGAACAGATTGCAGAATGAAGCCAAAAGCACTCCTACATTGCAGCGTTGAAAATATGTAGTGATACATTTCAGGTTTTCTTACTGCTGCAGAATATTACAGACAAGTCGGATTATCAACGCCAACATATTGATTTTCAAATGCTTTTTAAATTAATGCACCACTTTTAATTTGTTAGAAGACTTTATACATTCCCATCTAAGATTCCATAATGAGTAATTTCCACTTCTTCTGCATCTGTTCCAACAGTTCGTGCCCGTCTGTGCCAAGCCATCCATTTAGCATAGCATGACACTTCCTTCCTGCAGGTTGTCCTCTGCTATCAATTACACTCTCCTCTCCCTGCAAGAAAGATGCTCTTTGTCCCCTTGTTGCACGCACACAAACACACACCGAGCAAGCGCACACACCATAGAGGGACGCAGAGGGACAGACACCTGCAGAGTGTTTGTCACCTCTTCTGTTGGCATCTGCGACCGTGCGGCATTGTGGGAGAGACGGCCATCTGTTGTCGGCGAGGCTGGATTTGGAAGAGGGCAAGCGGGCATCCTGCTGCTCTTTTCTGTTGGTCTGAGCTGTGCGAAGTGTTGTGTTGTTATCGTGTTGTTGTTCACACCTCTACTGGTGTTACTCAGCCTAAATAATATAGCAACATAAAGAGGGTAAACTTACTTTTGCATTAAAAAAATCGGAGAATGCAACAGCTTGCAACAATGTTAAACGTAATTGCATCTCTCAGGGGCTCTCACAATCAACAAATTTCAACTTGAATGTTTTGTTCTCATTAAAGCTGCATGCAAATGGTTATCTTTTGTCAAATTGAAACTCTCTCCTAATTATCTCAAAAGTGTGTTTACCCCTCTTCATGGGGAGACAGCACATGAATGCGTGATTGACATGACAGTGGCTGCAAAGTTTCTTCAATTATCGCGGCAAGGTTACTATGGCTGCCTCCTAATTCACAGCAGGTCTTTGTCATTCTGAGCACAGAAAACACTAAACTTTGTCTGCTGCCTGCTCTGCTGTAACCCCAGGAATCTTAAGTCTGTCAGTCTTAAAGCTGGACTGAGAGTTAGAACCATTAAAGAAGATTGTGGTGTTTAAAGTACGAGACGTAAGCAGAGGGCAGCTTTTTCACTTTGGTATTGTTGGTCTGACCAATAAAATGTCTCAACAGCTAATTTAAAAAAACATGAACGTTTTTGCACAAAATCTCACTTCAAGTGATCACCTGACCTTTTCTCTAAAATCGCTGCAAGGTCACAATTATTTTATTTTGTGTCCCCACGACCCCTGGATTAATTGTCATTTCATTTTGATTATACATTCATGTCCTCCTCAGGTGTAACCCTTTTGACTTTGCAGACATCACAACTGTTTTCCAGTATGATACGATGGGATATGAAACGAAAGGATAGAATGCGATGTGATGCGATTAAATAAGCTTTTTCATCCCCTTGTGTTTTGTGGAAATTTGTCCCAGATAGTGCTGCACACATTGAGCTGCCTCCACAATAGAATCAATAAAACAAATAACTATTCACATGTAAACAGAGAAGCACCTAAGTGAAAACCCAAATCAATTCTACATTTTATCAGTCCAAACACTCTGTTTTATTACTAAATATCTTCTAAATGTATGACATTCCCCTCGTTGAGCTGCATGTGCTTGGTGTTACGGGCAAATGATGAACAGTGTAAAATTATTCATAAGCAAATGTCCCTTGTTTGCTTCCTGATAAAAGCAGACAGAAGTGCTTTGCTTATTTACCACCTTACATCACTGCTGGAGCAGCTGCTAGTTTTTATATGCACAGAAAAACTGCACATACATTTAAAGCTGCTTTTGACTTTTGTTGTGCTAAGAAAATGCATTGTTCTTAACAGAGGGCGTGTGTATTGACATAGAAAGTGTATTAGCTAGAGGGCTACATTTCCTTTCATATACTCAGCTTTGTCTGAAATATGTCTTTGTCAGTATATATATATATTTATATATCATCTAAGTGTAACAACAAAGAAAAGTATGAGGTTGAAAAATGCACGAGATATTCTTGTTTCAGCTTGTCAGCTACTGACAGCTACTTTGTGAGTTGTCTGATGTTGTCATGATATCTAAAGAGGTTATTGTCTGCTTGTCTGCTTTGGAGAGACAATGCAAGTTATCAGATTGGCCAACAGAGATATTAACCCACAAATTCCTGAAGGACACTCACTTGTGCAGGACATTCGTTTGGCTGGCAGGTTGGGCGGTTGGCTGGTTGGGTGGGCGGGTTCTTTATGGGTCTGCTCATCCAGCCGGTCAGCACATCGCGGACAGATGTTCGACCAGCCGAGCCTGCAGCGCCACCGGCAGTGTGTGTTCTAGAAAAACCCGGAGACCAGATGCTGCTACCTGGTGTCCCACCCGCCTGCCGCTCTGCTATGCTGGGCATGCTCCACTGACCATCACATGACCTCAAACTGGGTGTTGGGATTGTGTGCTGTCAATCATATTGATGATAGAGTGAAGGGGGGAAACAGTTTGAAGGGTGAACCACTGTGCATCTGCCAGATTCTTTTTGAATAATGACTCAAGAAAGATAGATACAGGAAAGTATAAAATACTGTTACATAAGTCAGTGGATGTGTGTAATTAAAAAGTGAACTGCAGTGTAAGATGTATGATCACATACGTGGCACAAAAGAATATAATCATCAAAAAATAAAGAATTATTATAGGTGAGTGACAGCAAAAAAACATGCCTCATAAAACACCACAACACCCTACTGAGTGATCTATTAGAAGTAACAACAAACGATGCAGAGCAACGTCTCGTTCAGCCTAATTTTCCCTCCAGTTTTGTACCACAAATAGATAAGTCGTCACAAACAAAGACTTTGCATCTCTCTTCCTCCGTCTACTTGTCAACCACCGAACCCGAGGGAAACTTTCGAAGACATTCAAAGATACTCAAGATTAAAGATGCATTTGTTTTTTTTTTAAGTCCCGGCAGGGTTTTTGTCTTAGTTCTTTGGCGTAATGGTGATGGTGTTTTTTTGTTGTTGGTGTTGTTGTTGTTGTTGTGTGGTTGGGGCTTCTAAATCAGATGTGCCAGAGAGGGGTTAGTCTGAAGGTCCTCTAATGAGGGCCGGCTCAGTAATGGCATCGCTTTTGACCTCAAACGACAGACTGTTTGCTCGCTTGTGTTTTAACTGTTATTCATAAATAATATTTGTTTTAAAAGCCAAGGAAGATAGCTGTGTTATTAGCCTGGTGCATCATCATGGCATCTTCTTTATAGTCTAGTGCACTTCAAATGTGGGCTTCTCTTTGGTTGTTTTCCCACTTTCTTATCAAGATCACAGATGCTCTTTTGTTGAATGCTGATGATGAGATCGCACGGTTATTGTCTTTGTACGTCTGGTGTCTCTGCCAGCTCTTCTCCTATTGATATGCTTCACTGTGTGCAAGTAGGCAGTCACCTTTTCTCATGTGCGGTTGCACTTTCTAGATTTCACAGTCACACGTGCTCTGATCTGATTCTAAGATTTCAATTAAACTTTGGATTCCAATAACAGCTCATTGTTCTTGTTTTTATTAGCTGCTCTTATCTCTTGGATTCATCTGGCACTTCTCTCGTGCTGCTGTGTATCAGTGGATCTCGTCTGCGCTAGAGCTATAGCAGAGAATCATACTGCCCCCTAGTGAGCGGTTAAAGTTAAACACAACAGGATTGATTGTGCAGCCATCAACCAGACAATACCTTGGTGCTCTGCCAGTGGCTCGATACCAAAATCTGTCACGGGCAGCGATGCACGACAATAGATCCTACTGATTGGAGTGGTGCACACTCCTGGATATGACACCGTTCCTACCACCTGCTATCGAATGCCTGTTTTTTTTTTTGGTTTTTTTTTTACTCCCTCCTCGGTCACAAGGGCCCTAATTCAGCAATCAATGGTGCTCATTTTAATAGCACCTCTGCTGCTGCCCTGAGGAGAGAAGAGGAGAAATCAGAATGAGTTGGTGTCAAATCATTCTTCCAGGGTGAAGACCGCAATCATAGCTCTGACGGATCTCTGAAAATGACTGAATATGCTGCGACGCAGAATCGCAGTGGCGAAAAATCATGCTGAACAGTGTTTGTCACTGGGACTAGTTGTGCAAACTTGTTTAAAGCCTCATACACTCAACGTGTGGATTCATGCATTCATGTTTCTCTGAAGCATGTTGCTTACTTTTTTTATTTTCTGGGCTTCTAGTGCTCTATTGCCTCACAGGCTCCTTTAACAATTGTCATAATCATTTGCTATTTCAAGAGTTTTTATTGCTGATATCAGTCATATTTTTTAATTGTATCAAAAATATTTCAATTACTCTGCAGTGTCTGTTTTTTAATTATTAGAGGTATTGCTGTGTCTCCCTGTCTCTCTGTTCATATATCTGTTTTTCTAACTTTCCGTCTATCTCATTATTTCGGCCCCAATTCAGTCAAGACAGATGACTGTCCTCCATCGAGTCTCGTTCTGTTTGAGGTTTCCGCCTGTTAAAAGGATGTTTTTTTTCCTCGCAACTTCTGCCAGGTGCTTGGTCATTGCTGGATTAATGTTGAGGCTGCTGAATTCATATTACAAAGACTACCGCCTAGACCTGCTCTATTAAAGAAAGTTTCATTCCATAACTTTAAGTATGAGTTGCGACCAAATATCTAAACGTGAATGATTGTTTGATTTATATCCAACCAACAACAACCATAATCCTATCACGCTTCAAGTAGAATATAACACATGAAAAAAACAGAGAAAGACAAGGCTGCATATGACCTTCAGCAACAAGCACACACATTTACAACATATCCATTACAATAAAAGCGCTCATCCAGTTTCCTTTATTCTGTTTTTAGCAAACATATCCCTTGTCCTTGTAGCCCCAAGATGCAATGTGAGCTTTCGCAGCCATAGGCTCCTCTGAAGACGTCCTAAGTAAGTGCTCCAAATGACAAGACAGCCTAAATACCCCCTAACAAACGTTACACGCCTGCAGAAAGCGCTTTAACAAAGGAGGTATGTAATGAACCCCAGGTGCCTTCCCCCCAATATATCATCCTGAGTGAATTTGCCAACATCACTCCCTTTACCTCCGAGCATGGTAAATGAGAATTTATGCACCCGCTACTTTATCATTCTTTACTTCTTTCACCCCCATGAGGTAGCCGCGCCATGCGAGACAGATATTCTCACCAAAGGCAATATCCCCCTGTAGTAATTATATCAGAGCGAGAGAATGGCTCATTAACATATGCTAGGCATGTCAGGAATTTACAAGCGCCTTTTGTAGATGCCTCTCGTCAGTGTGCTGCTCCCATCCGTATGGTGTCTCCTTTGAGGATGAAACCTCCTCATTTCCATAGACGTCAATCAAGCTGTGCGTGGTTTAAAGAATTATTCTGTGAAACAAAAAAAACACACACACAGAGCTCTTTGAATAAAGCAATCATAAGGGACGGCTCGGTGATATGGAAAGAGTGCGTGCGTACATGTGGGGGTGCGACTGTGTATTTTGATGAAAACAAAGTGGTGAGGGTAAAATTGTCTTGATGATGTGTCATCAATGCAAAGTAGGTAGAGTGATTGTATTTGCTTTTCTGCAGTGTGTTAAAGAAAAGTGCATGTGTGTGTGTGTGTGTGTGTGTGTGTGTGTGTGTGTGTGTGTGAATGGATGCATAAAACCCGACGCCAGACACCAGACTGAAAACAGACTACAGACAAGTCCTGAGGCAGCTCAGCTAGTCTGTCAACTGTGTTCAAGGAGACACATTCTGTTGGCCTTCCACCCATTAGCATGGTGCCAGCAGAATAACATGCCCTATTTATTAGCCATGTATATATACACTCCCTTAAAGACGTCTTGAATCTGCCTCATGAGGTGAGTGTTTAAATGTAGTGAAGATTAAGTGAAGTTATTTATAATGTTATTGTATAATCCCCCCTAGCACAAAACAGTGCCTGTTCAATTCAAGTAATGATGATTAAGTCTAAAAGTGGGCATGTTAAAGTGTGATTATACAGCTCTCTTCCATTGCCTGAGTCTGAAAAGTAAAGTCTGTGTGATGTAATGGAGATCCATTTCCCACTGAAGTGGCTTCTATTTACAAATAACTTTAGTTGGACATAATGGGCAATAAGGCTGTACGAAATGGGCATAAATATCCTGATGAATTGAGATTCCAATAAAGGAATAGAATAACGTTTTGGTAAAAAGGCTGATGTGCTTACTTGCCAAGAGTTTGATTAACAGACTGACACTATTAACAAGCTGTTAAAAAGGAACCTGCTGCCAATGGCCAGTTCACTTAGCCGAGGTTGATAAATAGATTTTAAACCCTGGATGGACAGCTAGCCTGGCTCTGTGGGTGGTAAAAAAAAGTACTTTTACCTTGTAAGTTCACGCTTTAACAAATCTTGTCTGTGAAGGCTCTCACTCATTCAAGCCATTGTAATTCAAAGCGTGATCCCAAAGCCAGCTGGACCAAGTTCAAGTTGTTTGTTGTTTGTTCATTCTAAAAATGCAGACCCTAAGTAGAGTAGGTTAATAAACATTTAAAGCAAGCTATTCGTTTAATGGTTTTCTCCATTTACTGTCTCTATGCTAAGCTAACAGGCAGCAGACTTGTGGTTCATAATATCGGCACAAACGAGACACATATCAATCTCCTCACTTCATAATTAGCCTAAAGAGAAAAAGGTGATCTAATATGTCACACGGTTTGTAAAAGTCACTTCAGATAGAAGTGTTGATATACTTTAAATGACCTTACCATGCTCTGTTGACACGGTCCAAGTCAGGCATTCAACCCTGAATGTGACATGATTTCTGTTTTGAGTGGAGTATTGATGTGCTGCCTGTTGAAAATAAACATTGTAGTACAGTGATACCCTAATGAATGGATTGAACATCAAACCACAGTCCATACGCAGGGCAAATACATCATGGTGCTGTGAAGATAGATAGATAGATAGAGATAGATAGATAGAGAGAGAGAGAGATAGAGAGAGAGAGAGGGAGAGATATAGATAGATAGATAGAGAGAGAGGGAGAGATAGAGAGAGAGAGAGAGGGAGAGATATAGATAGCTAGATAGATAGATAGAGAGAGAGAGAGAGAGAGAGAGAGAGAGAGAGAGAGAGAGAGAGAGAGAGGGAGAGAGATAGATAGATAGATACATAGAGAGAGAGAGAGATATCGATAGATAGAGAGAGAGATAAATAGATAGATAGAGAGAGAGAGAGATAAATAGATAGATAGATAGAGAGAGAGAGAGAGAGAGAGAGAGAGATAGATAGAGAGAGAGAGAGAGAGATAAATAGATAGATAGATAGATAGAGAGAGAGAGAGAGAGAGAGAGAGAGATAAATAGATAAATAGATAGAGAGAGAGAGAGAGAGGGAGAGAGAGAGATAGAGAGAGAGAGAGAGAGATAAATAGATAGATAGATAGATAGATAGAGAGAGAGAGAGAGAGAGATAAATAGATAAATAGATAGATAGATAGAGAGAGAGAGAGAGAGAGATAAATAGATAGATAGATAGATAGATAGATAGATAGATAGAGAGAGAGAGAGAGAGAGAGATAAATAGATAGATAGATAGATAGATAGAGAGAGAGAGATAAATAGATAAATAGATAGATAGATAGATAGATAGAGAAATAGATAGATAGATAGATAGAGAGAGAGAGAGAGAGAGAGAGAGAGATAGATAGCACCATGTCCATTACTCAACTCTGGCTGTCTCTCTTGTTCTCTCTTACTCTCTCGTTCTTTGTCATTGCCTTTCCCCTGTAAGTGCACTTTCGCCCACACCACTTGGAAATTGATTGAAACAAAATGTCACAATTATGCCCTGTAGCTCGCCGCTTCAATTATTCATCAATTAGGGGCTAGGCTTCTTTTTTTCTCTCCTCCGAGCTGATTTTTCATTCAGTTTGCTCGAGATGTATGGCTCCCCTGCTGTTAACCAGTCCAAAGTCATTAGTTTCTGGGTTTGCAATTAAACCTGATGCCTTATGCATGAGGCTCCGACTCAGTAGACACACGCAGCAGCAGCGGCGGCCGCGCGGTAGCTAGTGCACGAGCTAGCAAGCTCTGGAGGCGTGGATGGAAAATTAATTTGCTAGAAATTAAGTTCTCTCTCTCTCTCTTTCCCTCCCTCCCTCTCTCTCTGTTGTGTGGCAGGTTGGAACAGATGCCACTGGCTGAGGAGGATGGAGATAAAGGTGGGGCAACTCAGTCCAGACATAGCATCACTGTCAATCAAATCAATGATCCCTAGATTAACACAGACAAAATATATGTCAAATCTATATTATATTTTATTCTTAAATCTGGTATTTATAGAATTAATCAACAATGTGTGCCTTTTAAAGTGTCTAAACATTCAGATGAAGGTTTATTAGGTTCACTGGCTACAACTAATCTTAAAATCAGTCTCAAACTTCAACTTTCAATATATCAATCAATTAACACTAAATCACACAAAAGGGATGCTGTTACACTAACAGGTCTAGATGGCTCTGATTTGAAATATTATTCACAGAGTCTTGACTAAATCCACTAATGAGAAATCACTTGGCGACCGTGTAAATAAAAACTTTATTAACCTCTCCTTCATCTAATAACTGAAATTGAGGGGAGGAAAGTTACACAACCATCCGTCCATATAATGCTATAAACGGCAAAAGAACACAGACTTGGGTAAAATCGCCCCTTTACAGAAGTTTTGCAATGGTTCTTCTGTTACTGCCATTTAATGACAGCTAGATTTAACACACTGTATAAATATAGTCAACTGTAAACTGAAGCCAAAGGGTCCAACAGGATGAACATTTTTAGACGTTCATTTAATGCCACCTAGTGGCTGCAGAGTCACATGACATTTGTGAGATGTTAGTTGTAAGTTTTCTTTTCTTCTCTTTTCTACATGTTTGAAATAAAAACTTCAATTCATTTGTTTATTTGTTTTTTTATATATATATATACATAGTTTATTAATCCCTGGGGGAAATTCTGGTTAACACTGTTATTGAGAGACATGCTTCTCACACACATAGGCCCCAAATACACACACACACACACACACACACACACACACAACACACACAGGACCTGTGGACATGCATTAGTGGAGAGATGTCAGAGTGGGGCTGCTACACACTGCTACGCAGAGAACGCACCAGAGTGGCTGTGAATTCGGTGCCTTGCTTAAGGGCACCTCAGCAGTACTCAGGAAGTGACCTGGCACCTCCTGAGCTACCAGACCATCTTTCATATTATGGTCCCCACAGACTGAACTACTGCTGCCCAGTTTTGTCATATTCTAACGTACAGAGACAAGTACCACATGTTGTTTGAATGTAAGAATGTGAGTGTGATGAACTACAGAGAGAGATACCTGCCAAAGTATTATGTGAACCATCCATCTATGTATACGTTCATTGTGTTTTACAACCAAAGAAGCCAAAGGTTGTTTGTAAATGAGGTGCCTTTTTAAAGAATGTCCTTCTGTAGTTTTGTCTGTTATATTTGACAAATATTGTATACTACTTACTGTGTGTTCTTGTGCTCCATACCATGTATTATGGTAATGCCATATGAAAAAGAGAAAGTGGTTGTGTTTCTGGAAAGTACCTTTTTAATAGACTTGTATTTATCTTGAAACCACACCATAGTAGGAGTGTCCACCCTCATTGAAGCACTTGTATGAACAAAGAAGGGCACGCACGGGAATAGTCTGAGAACTCCTCATGTTCATGTCCTGGAACACAGAATCACAACAAAAAAAGAGCATATTATCACGTCAGCTGCTTTATATTTATCCTGTTTTTTGTTTATTGTAACGTTTACAAGGAGCCACAGAGTCTTTTTTTATTTTTTTGAGCAAAATCTTTAAGAAACTCTTTCACACCTTCTTCAGACTGATAAAGTGCACACACTCCAACCAGGTGGTGAGGAAGGGGTCCAAGCAGACCGCACAGCAGCTGCTGTTGGCCAACATGGCGGTCAGAAATGGGTGGAGGGGAAGCATCCTGTGGACTAGAGAGGACTTGTTCCGGTCCTCCCGCAGGACACGTCTGGCAGCCAGCTCCTGGGAAACAAAGAAGATACCAAAACAATGTTATTTCATAACACGAAGCCATTTCTTGATCGTTCTCACACCGTTCATGGTTGAGAGGATACGTGCTGTTCAGTCTGCTGTCCTCCAGAGTCACTTTACCTTTAATGTCAGCACTACCACATCCTGCTCCGACCACATCGGCTCACAGCGCACAAACCAGTTGTCTTCAAAGTACAGCTCCTTTAGGTGCAGCAGGGGAAACTACAAAAAAGCAAAGTGTGTTGTTGTGATTCCATGGAGTTCACTATGACATCACATTATGCAAATCATTTAGCTAATACTGTATACCGCACCCCAACAGGGAACATGGACAACTTGTTCCCAGCCACATCCAGAACTTGGAGTTTAGACAGTGCCCCAATTCCCTGGATAAAAAAACAAGTGTTTGGTTATCGATCTGCCAAGTAAAAGGATTCAAATTCTACCTTGTCAGCAGTTTAACTTGAAGTGGCCGGCCTTTCATTTGCATTCATTTTTAAAATCAGATTGCTAAGTAAATGCCTGGTCACTCACCTCTGGTAGGCTGCTCAGCTTGTTTCTGGCGACATGCAGCTTGGTGAGTTCTTTACACTGGTACAGCTGCTGAGGTAGCCGAGACAAACTGTTGTAAGTCAGGTTTATAACAGTCAACCTGGTGAGATGACCCAACTCAGCAGGAACCTCCTCCAGCTCGTTGTCCAGCACACTGAGATGTTCAAGCCTGCCTAATCTAATAAAATAAAGGGTTTCCCCCCTCTCTGTGGGTTAATTTCACGTTACTTGTAATCATATGTTTTACAACATTACCGCACAACAGTTGATCTTTGATACCTTTTCATCTCTGGAGGAAGTCCTCGGATCTGGTTGTGGTTCAGATTAAGCACAACAAGTTTTGTTAAGCCGCCTGTAAACCAAAAATATGACAATAAGGGGTCTTCATCTTAACTTTGTTCCTAGTTACCGTAAAAAGCCCATCCAAATTTAAAGGCCTGGTCCCTTTAGCTAACCTGCCGTTGCTGCAGTTTAGACAAATACAGGCAGATCTCATGTAGAGCCTTCTGTGTATTAAGTGTTGATTAGTTTGCATATCAAAAATATATTAAGGGTGTCTCCCTCTCGCCCTGAAGTGTCAAAGAAATGTTAAATTAGTGATTTGTATTTCAATTGTTTATCAATGTCCTTATTTGGTTTACATTTAAATAGTCCTACTAGTGTGGATTCTATTTTATAATCTTTCTCTTTTTTACTGTGCATGGGTTTTGTTTGAAAATAATTAAAGGCCCGTCTCAAACTGACACCTGTCCCAAACAAAGCAGGGTCATCTCATAGACTGAAGTAAATAAAAGCCTGGGCTCTTAATTGAAGTTTTTACGGTAATCATCACAAACTGTGTGCACCTACCTATCACCTCAGGTGGCACTGCTCTGATTTGGTTGCTAAACAGATACAGTTTCTTCAAGGACTCCAGATGGCCCAACACAGCAGGAACCTCCTTCAAGGCATTATTTCCCAAATTCAGCTCAGAAAGCTTGCAGGCATTACAAAGAGAAAAATATTTTATCACTACTAATCTGCGTGGTGTGTTAAACATTTAAAATTTGTTTAGGAGTTTTTCCAGTAAAACACATAAACTTGGAGGGGGGGGGGGGCTCACGTGTTGTAGAGAGAGCAGCTCTGCAGGCAGGCAGCTGATGGAGTTGTTGTTCAGTAGGAGGACTGACAGGTTTGTTAATCTGGAAATACACTCTGGAACTTTCTTCATTTTCTTTGAACTTAATGTTAATGAAGTTGCTTTGCCATATAAAGCTCTGACCACGGAGTCGGCCATTTGGAAAACTCAGCCTCAAGCTATCGCGTTCACGTTTCCATGGCGACGAGGAGACTACTGTCCAAAACATGGTCCTGAAGGGTTGGCTGTTGGGCAGCAGCGCCCTCTAGTGGTGACAGCTGGTGGCAACCACATGGTGAACTAGAGAGGCTCATTAAGATATGAAATGAAATGTTTTCTGTTTGTGTGGACAATAACATAAAAACCACATATAAAACACATTTTAAAATCTGTCTCCTTTTCGACCTCCACACAGTTCATTTCTTTATTAGTTGAAGCAAAACACATATCCCAACCTTTAAATGTTTGTTGTATGTTATATCTCTCATAAAGGCAAATGTAAGTGTAGCCTTCAAATCATTTCCATTTAGTCTAACAAATAGAAAAATTATATATTTCTAAAATATCACCCAGCACACTAGAATTACTGAGGATCTTTTATTTGTGTGTAAGAAATGTGTCCATCTAGTACGTCATCCTGTTAGTGAGATTGTATGTGTGTTGTCTTGTTGTCCCAGGATTGTATAATGTGTTTGATGTTTTGTAAGTATCTGCTTTTTAAGGCATGCTCTTTGTATGTGTTGCTGATAAATGTGCACTGTTCTTAAAAAATAAATACATTTAAATAAAGACCTATTACCTTGAATTTACATGTTGAGTGCATTACAGTATTTTACATTAAACTTTGCACCACTGGCATTTCTCAACCTTTAGTGACCACATATAGGGCACTGAGTGTGTAGCATTATACATACATGAACAGTTTACCGTGAGTGAGTACGACATATTCAGTATGTTTGAACTATTCTACAGAATGAAACAGAGAACTTTGGTAAACCTAAGAGAGATCTCTTGTGGTTTGATGCGGCATGTGTTTGCTGAAGGGTTACATTCTGCTGCCATGTTTCATATTGTGTCTGTTTTGATTTTACTGTTGATGTTTTCCTTGTATATGTTGTCTTCTGTGTGCTCCTGCTGCAAAGCATTATTCACCTTGTGGGACAATAAAGAATCTGAAAGGATTGAGTAAAGCGGAGGAAGTAGTGTTCAGGAATTACTTGAGTTTTTTTCTTCCAGAAAAACAAAAAGACGAAGACAAGCTCGTAGAGGTGATTTTCTCTGCATTTGAAACGTTGAAAATGATGCGAAGACATCCCTTATTAGTATTGTTAATGTTTATGTAACATTGATAGTATGTACAGGTTCATTCACTTCATTCCTGCAAGATTTCAACAGACCTGAGGGTGACTATCTTTACTTCCTCTCATGTTCTGAAAAGTATTCAATGTGTTGCATCATAGTTTCCAAAACATTTCTTAATAGAACCCTGGAGGTTTTTGTGACAGTCTAAAAATGTTCATAAACTTTTTATTCTACTGTCTGATATTTTTCATGAGCACAATGATGTTTTTTTTTTCTTTAATGATAAACAGTTTTCACACTCCCCACTTTCTTTTGACCTCTGAGCAGTATCTGACATGAATCATTTAACGCATTCTGAAAACAGCCATGTCTTTGAATTGGGGGGAGGGGGGGGTCTCACTCAAAATACATTTGTATTGAGGGGCCCTTATTGTGAGTGATTCAAACACTATGCGTCACACACATTGGATTACATCACACCACGACTGAGCCGTCTCTCAGCTGTCCTCTGCATTCGCCGGTTCCTTTAGCCGCTCCACAGAATTGTAGTGCTCTCCAAGTCCGTAGGCGTGACGCATGTAGCTGCAGCCGTGAAGAAAAGTGGATTTAGAAACGTGAAATAAACTGCCAGTAGAAATAAAGTTTACCTGTTATATGTCCACCATTAAAGGCTTTATATGCAATTTTTTTCATCCAGCAGATGTCGCCACTGAGCACCAGCATGAAACCAAAACAACTTGCGCTGCATTGTGTTAGCATGCTAATGCTAGCGATCTTTATTATGCTCGTATCTTCACACTGCATGTAAATTTACCTGAAATGAGTGATCTAGAAACACAGTTAAGCAGTGAGTACAGTATGTTATTCTTCTTTTCTCTAGTCCCTCAATTAAACAACTTTTATACACGAGGGGAGGAGTCAGCCGTCGTCCCGGCGATGTAAACACACTGAAGATAGGACTCTGAAAGCATCACAGACAGTGGGTGTCTGGTGTTACACCCATTGTAGACAGTCATGACTCACAGAGTTATTTTTAAGTTATATTATATATTATATTTAAGTGTGAAAAATCACATATGAAGCCTTTAACAAACACATTTTGGATAATCAAGCACTAAAGCCTGCTATGTTTTGGGGGGTGGTTAGTGTGGTGTAACAACCCCAAAAACATGACTCGTTACATTTCCAAAAAGAAATACACAACTCACACAAGAGTGATAGGATCACTATCGAATTCCTCTCCAATTTTGATCGCTGAGGAGTTCGCCTGAATCACTTCGATTGGCAGGCGAAGCACCTGGGTCAAAGCCTGCAACTGTCGAGGAAGAAACATTCAAAGGAAAATTATAACTAAAAAAAAGTTCACAAAGCGACAGTACAGTTTCATTCTCTGTACCTTTAATTTAACTACTCACTTCTAGTTGTCCACCCCAAGCTGCTGTGTGCTCCACCTCGCTGCAGTAATGCTCAAACTCCTCTGGAAGTACACACACACAAACACTTGCATGAATACCTTAAACACAGATGAATACTTAGAAAGTTATGAAAAGAAAACACAAAAGCACTACCTCTTGTGTACATGTCTCCGGTGTTCGGCTTAGTGAGGAAAGGCAGGAAGTCATCCGCATGGCTTCTCATGTGCTCAGCTGTTCGGGACCGCAGATCTTTCACGCTCATGACAATCTCGGGCTAGAAGACATCGGGACAGAAAGCTGAAGCTCTGAAGCTAGCAAATAAAACATAAACCAGCACTCTGAGGTTTTTTCAGAGCAGCACAGAAGTAGGTGTATGTATCACCTACAGCTTAATCGATTAAAAAATAGAATGTACCTTTGATCGCTTTGCCAGTTGGTCTTCAATGGCGCGGTACATGCAGTGACCGTCAGAAGAGATCTCCTTGATCTGAAGCTGTTGCAGTGCGAGTTTCTGGGCCAGCATCAATCCCTCCTGGTGCCTCACACCCTGCAGGTTCAGCACCTCGGCCTCGGCAATCCGGCTCTCCCGCTCCTTCTCCTGGGCCGCCTTCTTCTCCTGAGGACGATCATTTGAAAAAAAGTGTTTTTAATTAGTCATGCAACCATGAAAGAAAAAAAAAACACACACATTGAAATAACCAGAACTATTTATTAAATATAGGGAAACAATTAACATTCATCCAGCTGACCAGGAGAATGTAATGTAGATTATTTTAGTGGTGTGTTTTGTGCATGAAAATTCTAGTAAACAAGCTCGGTTGCAATCGCCCCCAACATTTTACACTGACTATGTCAACATAGAAGTTACACTGCTATGGGCAAAAACAAACAGCACATGAAGTGTCCTGTTTGAGAGGGAACCTGTTTCTCACCCTTCTCTTCTGGGCCTTAGTGACACGACCTTGTGTGACGTCTTCTTTTTCTCCATCATCCATCTGCAGGTTTTCGACTCCATTTAACACCGCTCCACCTATAAGATGCATAAACAATGATATTTTAATATGAAACAATGGATTCTGTACACCATTTGGAATGATGCACATTCTAATAATATGATATATCTTTATGAGGCATGTTGTAAAGCACAGCTATATGAATACAGATGTTTACCTTTGTGTCCCCTGTAGAGTTCAGCAGGCTGAGTTCCTCCTCATGTTTCTGGTTTAAATCTGCCTCCAGCTTGGCGATCTCATCCGTCATCTGTTTCCTTCTTTTCTTGTCATTTTTGGGACTGCATTTTTCATGCTCTGGATTTTAGCTGGAAGTGAATCACATTCAGAGGGGTTGGGTACAGTGACAACATCCCTATATTACCAGCAGCAGTTTCTTCCCTCTGTGATTTCGTGTAGGCAACTTTAACCGAAAAACACACAGCACAAAGAAGTAGAACATACCTTACAATTTACAACACAATAGAAGTGGCTTCATTTTACGTGATCTACCTTGCAGATCTTTCTTTTCCTTGCGGTGCTGCTTGGCCAGCTGCTCCTCTGGACTCTCGTCTGTCTCTCCGTCCATAACTGGATTTAGTTGAGTTGCTTCGATGGGTCAAATGGAGATGTTTTGACGTCACTGTACAGCGCATTAGGTTACACGATGTGATCCACACAACACATCAAGTGTGCCGATATCATGGACTTGCATCCATGGTTGACATGGCCTTATCCGGAAGAAGGGAGGAGGCGAGGCGGAGCTTTCTTCTCCTTCTTCTTCTTCTGTTACAGGTTGGCAAACATCAGAATGGTGCACTATCGCCCCCTACTGGTATGGAGTGAGGATCAGACTATATAATGTGGAGGAATTTCTATAAAAAATAAAATAGAAATAATATATTCTCAATCAACTAAGTTTTTCTGAGATACTGAAATAAAATTAGAGTTATTTCTGTATGTTTTCTAACATTTTACAGCTGTCTATCTCATATTTCTGACAGTGTATAGCCCATTCCACTGTTTCCTCGTGTCCAGTTTCCCATCCGTATGTTTTGCCATTTGAAATAATGTGTTATTTTATCTAGTCCGTCCAAATCTTAGTTAAGATATTATTGTTTAATTTCCCCTATTTATATGTGTACTTCTAATTTAAACAACCTTCCTTTTGGATCCTGTAAAACCATCGTCCTTGCCTTTCTTTCTCTCATTGCTTTCTTCTTTGTCACCTGTGTTATCTCGCCACCTGTTGGCTTGTTTGAATTATATTCTGGTACAGCAGCCAGCTCACATAGGTGTACATTTCTAGATCCATTTGCATAGATAAATATTTATCACATATGATCTCAAGAGAAGCGAGAGGGAGAATAGTTGGTCCTAGATACAGGACACTTTAATTTGGTTAGGTAATCTTTTTTTTTTCTTTTTTTTTAACAGCTGTTATAAAATTCCTTTGGGCCACTTATAACTATTGGTGTTTGTTTTATAGGCTATACTGCAAACAACGAAAATTACAATAACAGGTTTTGAACACAATTTGATTAATATGAATGTATTAGTATGAATTTATTGCAATGCCACACTTTGCCAAAAAGCTATTAAAAAAACAAACAAGAAACGTGTGAAAACAAGACTTTGCAATGTGTCCATAACTATACAGAATCAAATATATTTTATGGACACATTGCAAAGTCTTGTTTTCACACGTTTCTTGTTTGTTTTTTAAGAGCTTTTTTGTGTGCAAACGGTATAATCGTTAATATACCATGGATCGCAAAATACAACTCAAGCTAGTCTTTATTTTGTTAGAAAAAAATAGATAGATAGATAGATAGATAGATAGATAAATAGAGATATGTATAGATAGATAGATAGATAAATAGATAGATAGATAGATAGATAGATAGATAAATAGAGATATGTATAGATAGATAGATAGATAGATAGATAGATAGATAGATAGATGTATAGATAGAGAGAGAGAGAGAGAGAGAGAGAGATATGTATAGATAGATAGAGAGAGAGAGAGAGTGAGAGAGAGAGAGAGAGAGATAGATAGATAGATAGATAGATAGATAGATAGATAGATATATGTATAGATAGATAGATAGATAGATAGATAGATTGATAGATAGATAGATAGATATATGTATAGATAGATAGATAGATAGATAGATAGATAGATAGATATATGTATAGATAGATAGATAGATAGATAGATAGATAGATAGATAGATAGATAGATAGATAGATACTTTACTGATCCCGAGGGAAATTCAAAGCATCCAGTAGCAGGTTACACAGACGAACATGACATGAAACATTTGTTACAAATTAAGTCTCAAAACAATCCCATACATATATATTAACCCGAAAAAAGATTTAAAGAATACCCCTGGATGAAACAAACTTAAACTGTGCAATTAAAAATAGACTTACACAAGAAATGTACATAACCCGTGCAGGGATAAAAAATATATGTGCAATTTAAAGCAAGAACCTATAAACAGTTGAGGGAAAAAAATCTGTAATTAGACCTGAATATAAAAAAAAATAAGAAAGTGTTGACCTTCTGAAGTTGTGTTGTTTATATATGTACAGCAATGTTTTAAAAGCAGAAAGTGCAAAGTTATCAAACACAGACATTAAATAACAGGCAGTGCAAACATTAAATTAACATTAATTAGTAATGTATCCACTCGTACTTTAACACTAAATTATAACTAATTCAAAATGTGTGGGGTGTTAAATAGCAGAGAAACTCTCGGTGGAGAGCAGACGTGCAGTGTGACGTGGCACGGGGGGGCGGAAGAGCTTGTTTGTGTTTTGGTTCTGAGGGGAAGTTGCGAGAATAAAGAAAGGAGGAGACGTGACGGGATTGTTGAAATTATTTTTCTTGGGTCCCTAACATCATCTCGCCATCGTGTCCTGGGCTCCATATTTAAAGACTACAGGCGTGGTATTTAAATATCCAAACATCGCCTGGCTCTCAGGTAACTGACATGAATCGACAAGTTGTGTTTCCATCGGGGACTGATGTTAGCTAGCTCTGAAGCTAGCTGACTGCAGCTAATTTATGGGATGTTAGTTAGACAGCAAAGGGAGTGTTGTCTATTTTTATGACTCATTGGCTTTAACTATTCTAAACTGGTGTGCTGCCATAAATTACGTCAGGTATAGCAAGCTGTATGACAGGTTTATAATTGACCATGCTATGCTATAAGAGCTATCTGGATGGAAACAGGTCAGTGGGTGGAATGCTAACAGTGTTTTCAGTCTAATGTTTGGGTTTGTGTTGACCATCCCTTTAAATAACTTTACCAAAACAACAATTTACACTCATAGCACTAACTAGCAATACAACAACTAGCCTGACAGTCGATTACTTTGGCTTTGTTTTATGTAGCCGAGCCTGTCGCAGTGTATTTGGGAGGCTAACGCAAACAGTCACTTAGGTAGCTAGGGTTAGCTATCAGCAAGTATGCTAACTAGCTAGACAACAAAAACAATTGTGAAAATGGCATCCCCCTTCTCAAAATATGAACAGATACATGGCTACAGCTAAGTTGGACAAGCTCGTTTAATGTGAAATAACAACAATATAATAAATCCGCATATATGCTGTGAGCTATATTACAGCACTCTCTCTTTTAATTTAGGGAACAATTCAGAGGAGACATTGGTTTGTCACCATTGGGTTAGGGTTAGCTGTATTAAGACTGTTCTTTGTGATTGATCATGAGAGAACATGTAACAGGGCGGACAAACATTTAGCTGTCTCACTAAAACCGACATCAACAAGATTCAAGACTTGTATTTGTCACATGCTCATACAGATGTGCAATAAACACTCAAATGACTAATACACATATACAGTAAAATAGAATATAATGTAAAATAAAATAAAAAGAAATATTTGAATATACAAAATATAGAATAATGTAAACAGTGTAAAGTGTCCAGGGTGTCAAAGTGCAACACTGTAGCTACTTCAACCCCTGTCTCTGCTTGTATATGAATACAACAGTATCTCTTAAGAAATATTCTATCCTACACCGTACAGTCCAATATCATGAAAAGCTTGACATTTAGAAACATAGTTGTTGTGTATAACTGCCTCTGCTTTACCTGGTCTCATGCACTACATCACTTTATTCTATCCTTTTTATATCAGGATTCATCCAGCTCTGGTTACTTTATTCCTGATGTTTCTTATCCATCAGTGCACTACAGTCACTTTATTTATCTCATTTTTACCTTTACAGTTATATTGTATATATTAGTTCTGTTGTTATAACTTATCATTTAGTATTTGCCTACTTGCACATAGTTCTGTATATATATATATTTATTTCTTGTTTACTGCATATAGTTAGTATCTGTTAGTCCGATCACTGTCCACTATTATCTACTCCTTTATATTTTGTATTTTTAAGTTAAGTCTAAGCTTTTTGAATTGAATTGAATTCATTGCATTAGTTAGCATACGTGAGCATGACAAGGTGTTGTTGGTTGGTGGGGGTTGCAAGTCCTTTTTTGCAGTTTGTGATCAAGTTCTTGAACAGTGAACAATATGCCCAGGACAAATTCTTCTAGCAAAACAACACAGACACCGTGATTGTCTCCTGACAACAGTCATTTGTTGAATACAAAACTGTCAGCAATTCAATTCTTAAATAAGTTACAAAGAAATGCATGGCATGCATCCATTCAGAGGGCCATGCAGATATGTCACAGTCTGGTAATGTGGCTGGGTGAAACTCTTGAAACTGCTGCAGTCTTCCTTTGCTTTATATTACTATGTTTGGTTGCTATCGGCTTTGCTCTCTCTGTCATGATCATTCATTATGGAACTGCCTTACAGTTGTGGGTCTGCCTGTACTTATTCATGCTTAAATGGGGGGTTTGCATGTCTGTAGTGCTTTCCACAAATAATGAATTGCTTTAGGTGGTTACCTGCAAATAGTTTAACTTGAACATTTACGATTCACAAATATTGACCTAGGAGACAGGCTCAATGTTTTGTTGGTTTCCCCCCCCCCCCCCCCCCCCCCCCCCCCCCCCCACTCAAGTGTTCATGGGGAATCTTCAGTAGAAGCCTGCTGTATGAATTGGCCTCTCTTCTAAACATTTGCCGAGCAGGACATCAAAAACAGTGATGCTGCACTAAAGCCTGTATCTGACATGTTAAAGACAGGGTATGGAAGACATCACATGCAATGCACTGGCTCTGTTATGACTTGTAAGTTAGACATTTTCAATCAGGGCTAGTGGGACCTGACAATCACTAATAACAGAATAGAGAGAATCAACGATTGTGCAGACCGCTTGAAAGAGCTGCAACTATGAAATGACTGGCAGCTGTTTTTTTTAAGACAAGCTTTTTTAAGGTACAAGTTACATTTCCTGTAAAGTTAGAGGAAAATAGTCTGATGTTTCTCTCACATGAAAATAGATCAGTCCTGCTTTATTTGTTTCAGTGATGAAAGTTTTTTTATTTTTAATGCATTTTTATGCAAACCTTTATTTTGATAGATCCAGACCTTTTCTTTAAAAAAAAAAACACCGCAAACTGCCCACACTAAATGATTAGTGTTTTTAGAACACTTTATGCACAGAAGGTTACTATAATTATCTCAGTATGTGTCATAGCCATGTGTAAAATTCCAAATATGTAGTTCTGTTTTGGGCTGTGAGGGGTCCTTGTTTCAAAACAAAGAAGTTCTGACTGCTGATTTGAGTAACTCTTGACGGCTCAAAAAAGTGTCCGCTGTCATCAGGGTTGCTGATAGTATTCTCTACCATTTTAAAAATGTGCCTATTTGCTTTAAATGAAGGATCACATGACACTTATTCTAAAAGGGAAAGGTTTTATCATGTTTAGTATTAGAAATGATTAGCAGCACATTGCTCTTTGATGCTTTAACTCCTTTTCTCTCGCTTTCTTGCAGCAGAAGTCCTGATAGTTGGTTTGGCCCACAGGACACCCGAGGATCTGCCTAGGTCATGGCCAATCGGGGAGGAGCTACGAGACCCAATGGACCCAATGCAGGGAACAAAATCTGTCAGTTCAAGCTGGTGCTGTTAGGCGAGTCAGCTGTGGGGAAATCCAGCTTAGTGCTCCGCTTCGTCAAGGGTCAGTTCCACGAATTCCAGGAAAGCACAATAGGAGGTAAGCTTAATATCAACAGAACAGGCGCACTTTTGAAGGGCTGCCATTTGTTTGTAGATCAAATGAGTTTTGTTTGTGGCTGCATTTGACTGCTTTGGGCTTTCTTTTGCTAACTTGCTATTGTCACTGAAGCACCTTTAGGTTAGACCGAGAAAAAACTCCTCGAGTCATTTGCAGAAGTTTTGCTCTTTATTTTTAAAGTCAGATTCATTGTTACATATTTACAGTACAACTAGAACTGATTTATCAAATCATTGGTTGTCTAAAATTCTGTCTCTTTAAAGAGCCCATATTATGCCCTTTTTGGGGTTCATATATTTAATTTATGTACCTACTAAAGTATGTTCACAATAGCTAAAGTAAAAAAAAAACGTGTCTGTTTTCATGTTCTGCCGCTCCATGCACCGGCTCGCTTCTGACTCTCTCTCTAAGGCTCTGAAGTGCCCACGTTCAGAGTCCCCACGTGTGCCAAGTCTGATCTGATTGGTCGGCCTGTCGACTCTGCCGTAATTGGTCAGTTGCTCAGCACGGTTTTCGGAAATGTCCCGCCCCTTTTACCATATTGGGAATGCAGCCACTGGCTCCGTCCGAGGGGAGCAAAAACATTATCACTACTGTGCTACTGCAGGCTACAGCATATCGTGGGCGTGCTACAGAAGTTAACGGGCGTGCAACATGAGCTGCTGGGCTTGCCACAACGAGCCAATGGGCTTAGATCAGTGATCTCACACTGACAATGACGTCGGAATGACGAGGGGGGCTAGAACCGAGCGTTACATGCGGCTAATGTTACAGCTAACAGGAGGACGTAGGAGAAGCCGCGTTTCCACGGACTTTTTTTTGCACATAGATGTGCCTAAACATACACAGGACACTTGGAAAACACACTAAAGAGCATATAAAACCAGAAAAAGCATAATATGGGAACTTTAAGTCGAAGTGCTTTGTTTTTATACATTTATGACCTTTTTATGTTCATACATGATTAAAAAAAAAAAGTGATATTTTGACTCACCCCTCTCCTTGTCCTCACATTTCAGCTGCCTTTCTCACCCAGACAGTGTGTCTAGATGACACAACGGTGAAGTTTGAAATCTGGGACACTGCAGGTCAGGAGCGTTACCACAGTTTGGCGCCAATGTATTACAGAGGAGCACAGGCCGCCATCGTCGTCTACGACATCACGAATGAGGCAGGTATCACTCGGTAGTAGTCTCCCCCTGAAGAAGCGGAAGGTTTCAACACAGTGTTTATATTGAAACGCGTTATTAAGAAGGAAATATCTTGTGCAAATGCCCGTGACGTTACATCACTGACAGATGTCACTTTGTTTGCTTTGAACAGGAGTCCTTTGCACGGGCAAAGAACTGGGTGAAGGAGCTGCAAAGACAAGCTAGCCCTAATATAGTCATTGCTTTGTCAGGCAACAAGGCCGACCTCGCCAACAAGAGAGCTGTCGACTTCCAGGTCAAAGAAAACACACACACACACACACACACACACACACACACACACACACACACACACACACACACACACACACACACACATACACACACTCTGTGGTTTTGTTTCCTGCAGTTACATTCAGATCATACATTACAAGACACTGGTTCCATTTATTTTTGCCACTGACACCTGCAGTCCCAGTAAAGCACATTTCTTTTGATTCCTCTTCCCTGTGTGCCCGCTTGTTTGCAGAAGCATTGAACACTAACTCTGTTTACGTTTTGTAAACAGGACGCCCAGTCCTACGCAGATGACAACAGCTTACTTTTCATGGAGACGTCGGCCAAAACATCTATGAATGTTAATGAGATATTTATGGCTATTGGTGGGTATTTTTTCTGACACTTAATTCAAAGATGAAGCCAGTGAATTTAAGAAAAGTAATGTGAGCTTTTTTATGATGTTGTGGATTGGGTAATGGAATTTTTCCATTTCTGCACCTTGCAAATGAAACGTTGCGCTTTGTTTTATTGCTGTTCTTTTTCCTTTTTTTTTTTTTTTCCGCCTTCAGCAAAGAGATTGCCGAAGAGTGAGCCACAGGCCGCAGGAGCCAACAGCGGGAGGAACCGAGGAGTAGATCTGACAGAAGCTGCTCAGCCAGCCAAGGCCCCGTGCTGCAGTAACTAATGTGAAGAATGACCCTCAGACCAGCCTGAATAGCAGTAACTAATGCAGCTGATGCCCCTGAACGATTTACTAATGCAATGTGTTGTACTCTTATCTCCAGTGCTCTCATTTGCAAATCAGGAAAAGATATCCCCCTTTCCCTCCTTTTTCTTTTTTTGTTGTTACACGGTCAGTTCCATCACACCTCACATAGCTCTACGTCTTTTCCTCCATCGCGGCTCCGCCTCTAAAACAATTCTCTCCTACTTTCTGCCATCCAACTTTGAACATCTACCAATAACGATTGATAGATCACTCACAACAGATATTAAAGACATTAGTGCACCTTGCCTTTCACTGTGTAGATATGAGTTTCATTTAGAGGACGTGGTCACTTCCCTGTTTTGGGGATAGCTTAAGACTTTACTACTGCATTTCTAAAACCTGTCTTGTTTTTGTTCTTTTTTTTTTTAAAACATTTTCGTTTGGGTTTTTTGGATGTTTTTTCTTTTTAAATGATAGATGCACATACTTGCTTACGTATAGGGCCTAAATTGGTCAAACAAAAAAAAACAGTTTGACCCTTTGTCTGTAGCAGCACACCAACGGAGAACAGGAGTGTGGGCTTTTGAATCTCTGAAAGGAAAGGCTAAGAGGAACCCCAAGCTCCAAACCTCTCTCTCTCATTAGGACCCTTTTTTGTCATGAAATTAAGTAAACATTTGGTAACTGTAGTCCTCGTAGATTCTCTCCCTGTCTGTTCCACTTTACCTGTCCTTTTGTCCCCCCCCCCCCCCTTGACCCAGACTACCACTAGTGTATGTCCTCTTCCATTATCCTTAGGCTCCATTTTGGGGTCATGCCTGCTTTGAGCTATCCCTAGTGGCATTGTGCAATGTTTCACAGTATGAACTCTGTGACTTGAGTGTCTGCAAGGATCAGTGCAGCACAACAAAACACCCGTACATCCTCCTCCTTATCTCTTGACCCAGTGTCATTCATAAAGACCATCCCTTTGTTGAATACTTTGTCTCTCTGTCGTTGGATGATTTGGTTTATGCAGATTGTCTTGAAGTTGTAAAGCGTAAACATTTCTGGGCTGTGCTGGGTTTCCACCTGGTAAAAAGAAAGGTTAAAGGTAGCAAGCTGCAATATGTGAATCTGCTTCTTAATCAACTTTTTGTTTGTTTGTTTCTCAATTAGGAAGTGCTTTAGACACAATTGTGTGTCATTGTGTACAAACTGGGCCTGGGCCAGCTGGCTGATGACAGACTCCTTCCATAGACTCACTCACACGTGCCCATTTATGTGTGTGTGTTTAGACACACACACATAAACACACTCATCCTATTGACTTCTTCACCCTGAAATACTTTGTACATAAACACCCACAAACACACTGTCTGTTACACCACTTACTTCTGTTAAGCACACACACTTTTGTTTATACCCCCATCCTGATTACACATATACACACACACACACACACATACACACTTCTCCATGCAGTTGTGTGGTCAATAACTTTCTACAGGTCGATCTTACTCATGCCTTGCACTATTGATGCTCATGAATATATCTTGTCATAATTACAGCCAGTTTGATATAAATATATATATAAATATAAATATATAAATAATATACTGTAAATAGGGTGTTGCGGTGTAGTCAACTTTTTTTTTTATTTACCAGTGACAGGACTAATGCTTGCTAGGGAGTTGGCTAGATAATCATTAAAAAAAACTGCACAGTTGGCAGGAAAAAAAACAGCTACAACCTGGGTTTGGAGTTTTGTTGCTGTTCCTTTTTTCACACAAATGGTTAAATTATAATCTGTGGTGGTCTTTATAAATGTATGTAGTGTTATTAACAAACAACATGAAATGGCATTTATTTAGTGGTCTGTCTTGTACCTTTTTCTTAACGGAAAGGAAATAATCTCTGAACGTTTGGTTTCATTTTTTAATCCCTTGTCATTTCTTAAATTATTATTTTTTTCATGCGACTATGACTTGGTTTGTTAAAGCTCCAAACGGAGACAGACACAAAAACAACAGAACAGAGTGATTAACGAACAGTCGCCCCCTTTATAAGATATCAGTAACCTTTTTGAAGATATTGTAGGAACAGGCACAATGGTAGATTCATGAATAAACAGTGTAACAGATGATACGGTTGTACAGTGTATGGTATTCTTTGCAGTGAACACTTAATTACAGCCAGAAAATACATTTAAATGCAAGCATTTTACAGTACTGTTATGTAATGATGAAATAAATACTGAAATAAATTTGATCATTTATTATTGTAATCAGGCTGTTTGCATGTGTGTGTATGTGGAAATGGTACTTCCTCTTAGATATTACACTGATGGAGAGTTTTCCATCTCAACAGTTTGATGCTCCTACACCTCAACTCTCTACCAACCTTACAAAGTTTTCTGATAAGATGCAATGTTCATAAGTTTAATTACATTTGAATGTCTCTATTTTCTGGTTAATTTATATTTAGTCTTGACTATTGTTATTGATTCAACCTATTCTATCCTATTTCATGAAATTACCAAGAACATCCAGTCACCATGTCTTCTGCCAAGGCTCTGCAAAGAAAGGCACATTTGACCTTGAAATGTTCCTATAAACGGTTGCATTTTGTGACCTCTCCTCTGAATTAGGTGGAATTGGACTATCCCATTGAGTCCCCTAGCGGAGGAAAATGGGCCTACATTGAGAAATTGAAAATAAGGATGAGCGCCATGTCTGATCCTCCGCTTGTGGAATAGAGCTGACGGCAGAGCGAATAATTCCCGGGCCGGGGGTCCCGTCGGGGGTTCGGAGCGAATCATGGCGGACAGCGCTGGGATTCAGCAAGGTTCGCCGGCCATCGGGGCTGCGGGCCTGGTTCCGGCCGCTCCTGGAGCCGGGGGCACGGAGGGCTCTGGCGCCGCTGGAGGATCCGCACGTATCGCCGTGAAGAAGGCGCAACTCCGCTCCTCACCTCGGCCAAAGAAACTGGAAAAACTCGGAGTGTACTCATCCTGCAAAGTATGCTTTATATGCAAATACCTGACTTTGTGTACACTGCTGTTTTTAACGGATTGGTTTTTGAAAAGGCTATTTCCTGGGCTTGGTTGCAATAGTTTACAAAATGCAAGCGCAGCAAAGGAAGCCATTGTCGCACTTCATTTTTTTCATTTAGCATGCACGAGCCAATTATCGAAAAAGCGATATTAATAAATAAATGAACGAGACGTTATTTGAAGTGGCGGGCTGGTTAGCAGGTTCCCTCCAGCTGCAAGCTGTTCGCTGTTAGTACAATGTTACTATGTTTCTGTCGTGGTGGGGGGTTGGTGAACGTAAACATTGGCTTGGCGCTGGTACATGGGAGTAGCTGGCTGTGTGCACAAGGGCTGCATCCCACTTTGTGTGTGTGTGTGTGTGTGTCTGTGTTTGTGTGCGTGGTGTGTTCCTCGAGGAAACGTTCCGGAGTCGCCGTGCCGTCTGTCAGCGCACGATGGTACAAAGAGAGGATTTTATTGGGTTTATGCAGTGTATCATCCGCAGAGAGGAGGGACGGGGTCTTTGTTTTGACAGGGTGACAGCTGCCGGGGGGGCGGAGTTTGTTGTTGTTTCATTGCGCATGCCCAGTACGGCAGCTCCAGCTGACGGTGACAGGCCTCCTCACCCTACCTCACCTCCTTGTGTTTTTACTAAGTCTGTCTTAAGACAATAACAATACACTGAGCTGCATAGTTATAACAATAGTTCACGCTGCTATGCCCATTAACTGGACAAGAAAATACATGAAATAACATTAAAGAATCCAACTTTACAAACTAAATACATAATACATTCTGCATGTGTTTATTCCTACTCATCATCACAGTTGAGTCTGAATATAAACCGCAAAGACTGAGTGGTTGATCCACCTTGAACTGTTAATGTCACATGTTTCGTTCTAGGCTGAGGGAGCCTGCAAGTGTAATGGCTGGAAAAGTCAGAACCCCCCTCCTACACCACCTCGGACTGACCAGCAGTCCAACACAGTCAACCTGCAGGAGCCCTGCCGGAGCTGTTCTCACACTTTGGGTATTTGAACCATAATCATGTTTCATTTTTTATTGAACTTGTTAAACATTATCGATAATGGTGTATATGTGTTGTCACTGCTGAATAAAGTATTTTCCCTCTTGGAATAATGACATATTTAATGACTATATTTACAATATAACAACCATTTGAATTGATTTTATTTTTTCATTCTAGGTGATCATGTGACCCATTTAGAAAATGTTTCCGAGGAGGAAATGAACAGACTGCTAGGTATCGTCTTGGATGTGGAGTATCTTTACACCTGTGTTCATAAAGAGGAGGACGCTGACACAAAACAGGTCTACTTTTCCCTCTTCAAAGTAAGCCTCTGCTTTAAAAATATATATATGCACTGTATGAATGTACAGGTTTCCTGCATGCAAGTGTACAAGTGAACACAATGCTTTATCTTGTTTGTTTTTTTTAGCTGTTGAGGAAATCCATCCTACAGATGGGTAAGCCAATGCTAGAAGCACAGGAGAGTCCTCCATTTGAAAAACCCAGCATCGAGCAGGTGAACACATGTCTATATGAGCTTCAACTACAACACAAACGCAGCACTATTCAACATAAAACTTTTTTTTATTTTTTATTTGTCCGTGTAACTATTTACTTATTTGACCGTTTCCAATTAGGGGGTAAACAATTTTGTGCAGTACAAGTTCAGCCACCTGCCATCCAAAGAGCGACAAACCATCATGGAGCTGGCCAAGATGTTTCTCAACCAGATCAATTACTGGCAGCTGGAGACCCCCTCCCAGAGACGCCAGAGGGTTGCCAACGACGATGTAGCGGGATACAAAGCCAACTACACCAGGTAGCGGCCCTGCCAGACACCATGTAAACATGAATCACATCTATATACAGCCAGGAGGTTGAAACAATGTTCTGTCTCGGCTCTAGGTGGCTCTGCTACTGCAACGTGCCTCAGTTCTGTGACAGCCTCCCCCAGTTCGAGACCACGCAGATCTTTGGCAGGACCCTGTTGCGTTCGGTGTTCACTGTGATGAGGAAACAACTGTTGGAGCAGGCCAGGCAGGAAAAGGACAAACTGCCACCTGAGAAGCGCACACTCATTCTCACACACTTCCCCAAGTAAGACAACAAACAGACACAGACGTGAGACCTTTTAATTTCAGAGAGATTTATTCAAACAAAGAAAACTGTAGGATGGAAAAGTAAAGACGACATCCTCAGTAGCAAGGCTCACAGAGGTAACACAAGCATGCCTGGCAGCCTTTGTCAATGAAGGCAAGTTGTGTTTTTCTTTTTTACTTGGCTCAGGTTCTTGTCTATGCTGGAGGAGGAGGTGTACAGCCACAGTTCTCCCATCTGGAGCCAAGACTTCTTGGCAGGAGCGTCAGGAGGGCAGATTCCGATCCACACAGGTAACACACACCCTCACAAGTCCACCGTTGCAGTCGCTACATTTTTGAAGGAGTTGTGGACAAGGAAAGAAGAAATATCACTTAATATAATTTTAATTTCCTGTCTGTTGGGATGTAGTCATCAGTGCGCCTCCTGTAGCCAGACCGTTGTACTACAGCACCAGTCCTGTGTCAGTGGACCCCTCCACCTGCGGCAGTGTCAGTCCTGCCAGGAAAACAGCGTCTGCACTAGAGCCAAACCCAGGTATGACAGGCAACCCTATAATTACTCGAAGGTTACAATGACTCCACACTGTTACATAACATCTCATGTCTAACAGTCAACAGCTACACAAAGGACAAATTGGCCTTTTGTTTTCATCTTTTTCTGTATTTGTGGCGATTACACCCGACCCTTTGCAGCTAACAAAGATTTGTCATATAAATGGGAATACTTGATAGACCATCAAGTGCCTCGAAAAAAGCACACCACCTAAAGTTCATACACACATTTGATAAACTCCTCTGTGTCTCTGGGTCACAGTTGGAGAAAAGCGTAAACCCTCTGAGCCCCTCAACCATGAGGAAAATAAGAGACCCAGGGTGGTTGGCGACATCCCCATGGAGCTCATCAATGAAGTCATGGCAACAATAGCGGACCCTGCAGCCATTCCAGAGGTAACCAGATGTTCTTTGTTTGGATGTCCAATCGCACGGAAGCCGATAAGTGCATTCGTCCCATTAGCCCGCAGCTACAGTTGGGCAAAGACAATTGAAGTAAAACAGATTTTTAGCTTAAAGGTCAAATTCCTTTTTGACAATTTGAAATAAGAATCTGTGTTCGACCGCGCCCCTCTCTGGAAGGGGATGTGATTTGGGGCTTTCTTGCACCATGCCCAATTGTGTACAGTGAGAAGGCAGACTCAAAGCAGGACGAACACCTATAGCTGTGGGAGCTTCACCCACCTGGGGGAGGGGCTACTGCCCTTTGTGATGTCACAAAGACAAAATCTCCAAACGGCTTGTCTGAGCCCACATTTTCTGAAAAGTGGAGCAGGCAAAAGACAGAGTGGATGGACTTTATTCATAATTGGGAGGTTTGCAGACAGACAAGGGACATATTTTGCATAATATGTGACCCTTTAAAAGTTGGGAAAACACTGTCCTGCTTTTAAAGAAAAAACTTTCTGACTGTCACAGAGATGATAGAAACAGTTGTAATGGCGGTTATGTGAACGGCGTTCTTCTCATCAGACCAGCCTGCTGTCCGCTCACTCTGCTCGTGACGAAGCAGCCCGCCTAGAGGAGCGCAGGGGGGTGATTGAATTCCATGTCATCGGTAACTCCCTCAACCAGAAGCCCAACAAGAGGATCCTGATGTGGCTCGTCGGCCTCCAGAACGTCTTTTCTCACCAGCTGCCCCGCATGCCGAAAGAATACATCACACGGCTGGTCTTTGATCCGTGAGTGTAACCCTACTCTGACATACTCACACATGTAATGAAGCAACTACAATCCATGTCTATATTTGTTTGTTTTTGACAGGAAGCACAAGACTCTGTCACTGATCAAAGATGGCCGCGTGATCGGGGGAATCTGCTTCCGGATGTTTCCATCGCAGGGTTTTACAGAGATCGTGTTTTGTGCGGTCACTTCCAACGAACAGGTCAAGGTGAGAGTGTTTCGGCTCTTCGGCTTTTATGAGTTCATGCTCTCTGATTGGTCCGCTTTTTAACCTATTGTTGCCTTTGTTTTGGCTTCGTGGTTGTAGGGTTATGGGACCCATTTAATGAACCACCTCAAGGAGTATCACATAAAACACGAAATCCTCAACTTCCTCACTTATGCCGATGAGTACGCCATCGGCTACTTCAAGAAACAGGTAACATGTTTTTACAGTACAAGCTTGTATTTTTGTCACATAATGCAGTATACTTTCTACATCTTTCCTCCTGGAGTCTCACTATTTAATCAAAACTTCTCTTAGACCGGCAAAAGAAATATAAAGTCCCTGTGAGACTTTCAAGTAATGGTGCTTTTGGCGACCCGTGTAGAGTTAGTCCTACCTTTTTTGCTGATCTCATCATGTGTATGTGAAAGAAGTGTCTAATACGCAGCAGACAGTGAATCTTTGGAGATGACATTTTTAAAGGCTGTTTCTTCAGCGTGCTGTTCATGTCCTCGTCTGACACCACCTCTGCGGCAGGGATGATAAGCATATACAATTACAAATCTAGAAATACTTTAACTTGTTGCTTATGGTCCCATTTGCTTATATTGAATAAGCAGCATAAGCATATTACCAACTAAAAACTTAGGCAGGTCAGCTTTTTAAAAAAGAGCTTTAAATTCACATGATTTCAGATGCAAATCACCATCTTTTAAGATTTTTTTGCCGCTTATATTCAACCGGTAACACATTTCTGTTATTGTCTTCAAAGCTATAAGAATGGCTACCTCTTGTCACTGAAACGCTTCTTTTGTAACATTCTTTGAATTCCTATTACAAGATATTGAAAGTATCATAATAGAAACGATTAAAACACAAGATGAGTGTGGTTTTCCTGAGTGGGCTTTTTAAAAAAAATACTGCTCTAATTCTCTCTCTCAGGGTTTTTCAAAGGACATCAAGGTTCCCAAAGCCAAGTATGTGGGCTACATCAAGGACTACGAGGGCGCCACGCTCATGGGCTGCGAGCTCAACCCCAGCATCCCCTACACAGAGTTCTCTGTCATTATCAAGAAGCAGAAGGAGGTGAGTGTTATTATTTCATCCTTTTTTCTATTTTTGTATCTGCTCTTACTATCTTTTGAATCATTCCCTCGTGTCTCACTCAGATCATCAAGAAGCTGATAGAGAGGAAGCAGGCTCAGATCAGAAAAGTCTACCCGGGACTCTCCTGTTTTAAGGAAGGAGTTCGTCAGATACCCATTGAGAGCATCCCTGGCATCCGTACGGCCACTTACTGCTTCACTTTTCTTTAGCAGATTATGTTTGTCTTGCACTTTCTTCTTTTAGCATGAAACATACGATTAATGTCAGTTTCTTTACATGAACAGGTGAAACTGGCTGGAAGCCTGTGGGTAAAGGGTGAGTGTCACTCTACTGAACAACATTTGAACATTCAGTTGATCTTATTCCTGACCCAGTGACTTGGCTGTGGTATCCCATGAAGCACAAGTTTGGATCCTCAACTTTGTGACCTTGAAACTTGGACGAACAGGTTGGAAAAGATCAATCATATTTCTTTGACTTATTTTACTTCAGGAAGGAACTGAAGGACCCAGATCAACTGTACAGTGCTCTGAAGACCATCCTCCAACATGTGAAGGTAAGGCTGGCAGACACACACACATCCATGAAACGTACCCGTAACACATTCACGGACTCATGTCTTACCAGACTACTCTGTATGTCTCAGAGCCACCAGAACGCCTGGCCTTTCATGGAGCCAGTAAAGAAAACAGAGGCACCAGGGTACTACCAAGTAATCCGCTTCCCCATGGGTATGTATGCAGTGGACAGGATTTACTTTTTAATCCCACATTGTTAATAATAATGAGTGATTAAAAAAGTACAGAAAATAGTGGTGCGTTCCATTTGATCTCAGAAGTTGGAATTTCCAAGTTGTCGGTCTGATACGTCAGTTTCCAATTGGAAATTGTAGGAACTTCAGAAGCCTCAGCCAAAATCCAACATGGCTGCTACATGCATCAAAAGTAAAGTTTAAGCTGTACACTACAGTGTTTATTGGAAATGTAGTCTTGTTTCAGTGTAATCGATTACACCGATAGTATCTGTGGACATTGCATGTTAAAAGCTAACAAAACAAAGGTACTCCATGAGGCGTTCATGTTGCTCCTTTGACTTCTAAGGCTCTGTTTACACTTCTTTTTTTCAACTGCCAGCACCTTTTTTACATACAACCCTATGGAAAAAGGAAAAGGGATGATGCCTTTTCAGAAAACGCTGCGCCCGACGCCTTTTTTCAGTTGAATTGTTTTAACTTTTCAAAACAGGATGTAGATCTTTAACAATAGTAAGTGAACAAACCTTTGACACTGTAACATTTCAAAGCGGCATAAATGAGAAGTGTCCTTTCCTTTTCCTTGCAGACCTAAAGACCATGAGCGAGCGTCTGAAGAGCAGGTACTACACAACGCGCAAGCTGTTCATGGCCGACATGCAGCGCATCTTCACCAATTGCCGTGAATACAACCCGCCAGAGAGCGAGTACTACAAGTGTGCCAATTTACTGGAGAAATTTTTCTACACAAAGATCAAAGAGGCGGGGCTCATCGAGAAATAGACGAGAGGAAGAAAGAAGTTCCTCCTCACCTTTAATGAAAGGATAAGACAATCCTCAAACTGTGTGCATGGAGGAGTTAAGAAATGGACTTCTGATGCTGTAGCGCATAGGATTCAGGAACACTTTGCGTTTTGCATCCTTGTCATTTTTTGATTGCATGCGGGTCCAGAGCTGAAATCTGAAGCTTGATATTTTCACTGAAAGACGGGCCACATGGGAAGACCTGCAAGACTTCAGGAAAAAGGAAACATTGTCTTTATATTTCATCACATCATCCCGAGTCCCATGGAAAAACAGGACAGTGGGAGATTTTGGGTAATATTTTTTTAACGACGCAGGAAGAATCCATAACTACTTCTGTTTTAAGACATTGAAAAGGTAATACAGGACGACAGCTGATTGGAGGTTCACCATACACCTTACTTTGTCTCTCTCTTTCTCTCTCTCTCTCCATTCGTTCACTTCTCTCTCTTCCATCCTTTCATTCCTGGCCTTTTTAAATGTCTGCCTCATCCCCTTAAGTAGACTCAGGTAGAGTTGTCATTAGCAGGAACCACATCTTCAGTGTATTAAGTCATAGTAACATGAGAGGAACCTGACTGAGTCTCTGTTACTGTTAGTGAAGTTGAATTTTGTCTGTGATGAGTTCATCCTGCCAAAAAGAGGAATACATACTTTAATCTGTACAGATTAGAAAGAGTACAAAGCGCTTACACCCACTGTATCATTGAAATGTGTATATAGCATATATTTTGGGTTTTGAAACTAAAAGATAATCTTTTTTCCCCCCCAATAAGCCACTTAGGGCAGGTTGTCTATCAAAAAGCACTTTTATTTTTCCAAGTATTAGTTACCACAAGAGCATCTTTTGTTTGACATATAAATTACCGCTATGGAATAAGGACTAATTCAATTATCTAGAGTTTATTCTTATTTATGTGCAGTAATTTAAGAACGATGCTAAAGAAAAGGTCTTAATTTATTCGTTTTTTGTTTTTTTTTGTCCTGCAGATGGAGATTGATCACTTTATACTTTGGAGATAAACGAAAAGATTGTGCAATACTATGTAGTTTTGCTGTTTTGTAAAAAGGTGTTTGTACTTTTCAGACTTTAGGAAAAAAAAATACATTTTGTAATATGTCTCGAGAAATGAATCCATGCTCTTTGTACAATTGGTTTTAATGACATAGTATTAGCCTATTTTCTAGACTGAATTAAACAGAAGTGAGGCTTATCTGTCTGTGGTTTTATTTATGACAACTGCTTTACTAACAGAGTTTATAATTATGTAATATTGATATTTTTAATGCAGGTTTGTTTCCTAAAGAAAGATATTTTACAATGAAACTACATTTTTGAAAAACCCAGACACAAACAGAGCTATATCTAAACTTTGAGATGTTCACATATCATGATAAGGAAACTCCTTTCAAAGTACATTTTAATGAAATGTAGTTCACTGTTGTTCCACCAAAGCCATTCATTTAATAAAAACATTTATCGTCACATCACACAGTAGTAGATAGAAGAGACAAAGAGGAAATGATTAGACGATAATAACATATACTCATATACAGACCTTCAGAATACGACAGATAATCTTACTAGAAAATATCGCCGGTTAAAAAAAACAAAGAGCCATTACTACATTTTCCAAGAGAGTCAAAGATAGGGACAAATAAAAAATTAATGCCCTGCGAAATAAGAAGCAACTGAGTCACAAAATGATTTACTTTGACATCTAAAACTTATCATACAGCGTTGCTTTTTATACAGAAAAAAAAACAGACAGTTAAAAACAAAACTCCACCAGCTCTTATAAAGATTATCTGACAGTGCACACCTTCAGTCAGAGTTCAGACAGCACAGAGTAACTGCTTTCAGCGGCATCCAACAAACGACTCGTTGTATTTCTCAAACGGCTTTTTGCTGCTCGTGGACTTCCTTGATTTTTGCATAGAGGTCCTGCCAGACTTCTGCTTGAAAATAGGAGAGCAGAGGAACTGCAAGTCTGTGTGCTTGTCTCCGCGCCGTAGTTTCCTGTCAAGATAAGAATCTAAATGTTAAGCCTTCATACATTAAAAAAACATCAAAAAACACAAGAGAGGCATCAGTGTGTTAACTTACCCATTCAGCGAGGGTTCCTTGTAGTCCACCGTCATGGTGCAGCGGCGCTTGCGAGCGACAACAGGGGTGGAGCATCGTGCATCTGATTGGCGGGTGGTACCACAGGAGAACTTGCGATGGGCTGCAGGGGACATATTGGTCACATCACACAGACTCAAGCCCCTCCCTCCAGTCCTTATACCAAGCCCACCTATGAAAACGTGAGGAAGATGTGATCCAGAAGCAAGAAATAGTGAGTGAGATAAAGCAAATGGAGATAGAGGGAATAAGCCGAAAGTTGATCAGTCTCCCCAGTGCTCACCATGTGACAACCGAGATACAAGTCATCACAGGGTTGGGAGGTGACAAATACACTCACGTTTCTTGACTGTCCTGACCCTCTGGGGTGTTTGGTGAGGAGGAGCTTCACAGAAATCTCCAAAATTGGACAGGACGCTGTCTATTCTCATCATCTCCGCCTCCACTAGAGGGCTCACAGGAAGCAAACAATCCTCTGCAATGACCTTTGTGTGAGGCTCTGCAAAACAGATACATGGAATATTCTTTATTCAGCTCAAATAGACACAGACGCCCAAAATATAAGCCTTTTGACATTTTTCTACACATTTGTATCTGACATCTTTGTCACACAAGAAGGTCGTCAAGGTAACAGACAAAAATCAGCTGTTGCAGGAAGGTAAATCATGAAGTCAGATACATTCACGTTAAAATAATCTTCAATATATTTTTTCAGTAGACGAAGTAAGTTGAAGACCAAAATCCACTCAACAGATGGTTTTGAAGATTATAGCCGGTTACGCCACTCTTTATTGTACCACCCCTGATCCAGTAGAATGTCAGTGTTTCCCACACATAGACGATACCTGGGCGGGCCGCCTTTTTTTTTTTTTTTTAAATGTATTCATAAAATTGCAGAACATGCGTGAGAGAAAGTGCAGGGGAGAGAAAGAGCGTTGGAGAAGTAAAGGCGAGCGAACCTCACTGAGTGCACAGAATTTTAAATTGTGCCTGAGCCCTCAGCAGCACCGTGCAACATAACTCCAGTAAAAAAAATACAGAGAGATAAGACGTAGTAAAACCAAGAAAGCAGAATCACATCAGCTTCAGAGAGTGGAGAGATAGAAGGTTCGCTGTCCGTACATCACTCTTGTAAATGCACCGATTGAGGGGCCTTGCTCCTATCAAAAACTGAAGCTTCTCATGGCTTCTTTTTTTTTTTTTATGTTAATGCTGTGCTGAACTCCTATAGATAACGAGTGGAACTTTTCAAAACCCGAGGCGTACTCCTGGTGTTTGTGTTTGTGCGTGGATAATATGAGCAGATTAAAGTTCATAAAGTTTGATTATAAATACAAACCGAATATGAACATACCTTCCTAAGATAAGAGTATTAAAAAAGAGGCCTTGTATTTATTTAACTAAACTGTTTTACAAGTTGGTAAAACCTGATGTTTCCTTACACATAAATGATTCCCAGTCTCATTCTCACCATGAGAAATATAGGTTATTCATTTAACACCAGTATTGGAATCTGTACTTCAGTTGGCAGATACCTAATGCTCAGGTATCAGATCATATTGGAACTCAAAACGTTTGATAACACTGCTGTCAGAGAAACTATTTCCTCACCTTGGGGGTTTTCCTGCCCTAACCTTGCTGGGTCAGGGCTGTTAGAGAAACTGGAGTCAGGGGAAAGTTGGAGATTAGCTTCTTCCTTTTCCGGTTCTACTGCCTTAGGACTTTCTTCCTCATCTCTAAAGACTACAGAACACAAAACATTAAAGAAAATGTTCAAATTCATGTGTAAGGATTTGCTCTTTAAACTGTAAATATTAAAGGAAAGCTCACCAGAGATCTCCTGTTTTGGAGGGATGTTTTCTTTCTGTTTGATGACTTTAGAGGGCCGGCCTCTGCGAGTAGTGATCACTTTGGTCTTTTCAGGTAAGGTCAGTCTTAACCTTTTCTGAGGGACATAAAGACTGTCCTCTGACTCAGAAGATGATGATGATGAGCTTGACTCACCCTGTTTGGAAACCATGGGTGAAGCCTCAGTTTGGGCATGTCCTCCATGTGAAGATTCTTCACTGATGGGAGTGGCCGGCTTATTTTCCTCCACCTTTGCCCTGAACGGTGTGACGTGAACTGTTTCTTCACAGTCAAAATCAAATGTGTCATTGAATCCCAGTGAAGTGTTCAGCTTATTGCCCTGTGAGGGAGGAGCTGTTTTGGCCCGTGTGGCCGATCGGTCCCGACTTTTGGAGCGGGCTCTGGGTTTGGAATTTTCCCAGGGCTTCTTTAACGGAGCACGGTCTGGCTTCCGGCCTCTTTCTGGTTTCCGAGGAGCAGTTTCTGGTTTGGCACTAACCTGCTTTTGCTGGGCCTGTTTCCTTACAGGCCTCTGCTGGATGGTCTTTTTTGGTGGGTCAGGTTCCGGAGTAGAATGCTGAAACTCCTCTGCAGGGTCCACAAAATCTGGTTGTGCTTGCTGTGGCTGATTCAGATTGCCATCGCTACAGTGAATAGGACTCGCTATTAAAGAACCCAAGCCCGAGACAACATCTCCCTCGTCCAACGACCTCCTTTCTCTCACACGCTCAGACCTTCTCCTGCTTTGTCTGTCGACATGGCGACGCCTCACGCCCACTGTGGACGGGAGTGTTGCCTGCCTGTCACATTCAGACTGTGCAGTGTTTTCAGAGGGCTGATGGACTTTGAAGAAAATTACACACACACAAAAAATTACAAAATGAAAGTTGCACTGGTTTACAGAAATCACAAGACTAGTATATAATAAATACAGTGTAAAATATTTATTTTCATAATTCTTAAAAGACTCAGTTATCCAGTGAGCTGCTTATCAATAATTGTATTCCATGGATTAGTCTAAGAGAAGCTTTCAAAGCAGAATCCTTATCCGTTACTATTAGAATTTAAAAAAACTAAAAAGATACTTCTCTAATAATATGTCATATTTTGTGTGTCAGTGTGGGTATACCTGCAGTAATTGGTGAGGCTTTACACACAACAGGCTCATCAAGGTTCTGTCTGGTGCGCTTTCTCCTATAAATTGAAAAGAATACATTACTAGTAGTCAGAAAATTAAAAATAAATAACATCATACAATTTTAGGCCATTTTTTTTGCTATTTAAAAGGTTACCTTTCTGAACTCTCGTGTGGTTTTGGTTCATCAGAGGTGATTGGATGCTTTGTCTAAATTGGCACAAAAAGACAAGATAATACTTATTTGTATACAAGCAGAAGCAGGCATGCAGTACTTTAAAATGTACTTATTAGCCAGGAGTAGTTCAAAAAAATATTCAGGGTAGACAAAATAGGTCCTAAAGGTTCACCTCTGAGGAACTCACTGCCAGAGCCTCCTTATCTTTGAGCTTCCTCTTGAGCAGAAGCAGGTGAAGGAACAAGGCCTGTTGCTCCCTTTTCAGCTGCAGGATCACTGCATTAGCCTGCCTCACTTTCTCCTTCTCAGCCTGCAGCCCTACAGCCAGAGCTTTGTTGTTCAGCTGGACGCCTTTCAGGATGTTGTGGGTGGTCGTATCCACTAGGAAAATAAAAATTAGGAAGGATGTTACTTGTTTGTGACAAAGAGTCCTCCTGCTGTAGAACAGAAGGTCATAGCACGACATCAATAGAACAACAGCGTTTCATGAAATGTCAGACGGTTGATTGAATGTTTGCAGTGACTTGTTGGTGTATTCTGTGATAAAGAAAATGTGTTTTGTAAAAATAAAAGTCTGTTTAGTTTAAAAGTACTCAGATGTTGCTGTGTGACATTTAATGATGTGTGTTGTAACATTTCAAAGTCTTTTGTGAATTGTTATTGTATAATGATATATATATATATATAAATAAATAAAGACTATTGCAAAGTATGATTTTGTGATATATTGTTGTTTTGATATTTCTGTCTGTGCAACTTCATGTTTTGAGATTGTTGGCATACTGTATGTCCATGTAATTCATATGACATCCACGACCATACGTTTTCATTGTATTTAGATTTTAAGATCTAGCTGTGGGTAAAAGTTAATTAAAATGTGAATGTAAATGTCCTTACCACTGGTTTTGTTTATGATTCTGGACCGTCCTC